ACAAACATGAAAGGGCACAGTGAAACCATTCATTTTACTCATTCTTCTTTCGACTCCCCTTTCACCGTGCCTCTTCACGTACAAGGATCGCCACGCTGATGAAGTTGAGCGCGTGGAAACTGCAGCAATGGAAACTGCAGCAGTGGAAACCGCAACAGTGGACACTGCAGCAGTGAAAACTGCAGGAGTGGAGACTCCAGCAGTGGAAACTGCAAGAGTGGAGACTGCAGCAGTGGAAACTGCGGTAGCAGCAGATGAGAAAACAGGGGCAGGACGAGAGCATCGTGGGAAGAAGAAATGGGATGATACAAGGACCATCGCAACATGCGTCGGAACCACTGAGAGAGACGCGTCACATGTGTAGGATAGCGACGTTGGCGGGAGCGCATGTAGCAGGTCCACCCCTTAGCAAGGGTTGGTGGGGAATGCCCACGCGAAAGCATACGACGAGTAAGTGTTGTTGCCGCAGTTCGAAAGTCCTGCCAATTGTTACAGATTTGTTCAAATCTGGTCAATTGCCCAGTAAACACACCAGCCGGTTTGATGGGAAGGGATGTTGGAGGTTGCACTTGGATAATGAATGACAGGGAAGTCCCAAGCAGCCGCTGTATACAATGACAGCAAAACACCCACGAAACAAAGAAAGGTCTGTCACAGCCAAAAAATACACTCCAGACATGCCGCTGACACTAGAGACACACAGCATGGCCGAGTAGTGACGGCCCCAACCACTGCCGCTCTACCTGACCGAAGAAAACCGTAGCAGGGTGCTAGCGAAGTCGTGGTATATCTCGTCAAACAAAGCAGCCCGGTAAACCGTAGGCAGAGAGGGAGAAGAGGACAACAAACGAGGGGCTGTGACAAGCTGTTTCGTCAGAGTTTCACCTACCGACTCATCAGTAGGCTGAACCCTCCTATACAGTCTGCAGAATCCCCTAACTGATTACACTGTACTAAGTGAAAATCCACCTTAACACCGGTTATGGTTCAGCATCAACAACTTCCCGACAATTGATACCTTGAGGTGGGCACCAACCACTGCCCTCACTGTTTGACGAGATATATTCCTGAGGGACCGAGAAGGCAAGGTGAGGAGTGGAGAAAACGGTCTGAGCTAACATTCTACCTAGTACTGCCGTCTTCACCCCAATAGCACGCCCGGTCATTATAGCTGTATTTGGCACAACTTTCGGTCCAGATGCAGCGATAATGACCGGGCATTCTATTCGGGTGAAGACGTTAGGTGCTATGGCACTGAAGTAATCCATGCCGCGCTTCCAAGAAAAGCTCGAAAGACTAATATATATATATTTTATCTATTCCCCTCGTTTGTTGTCCTCTTCTCCCTCTCTGCCTATGGTTTACCGGGCTGCAAGCGCCTTGGGCAGTTGAGCCAAATTCAACTACACTTGAATGGATGGTACAAAGTCCTCCAGCTTTTCATACCTTTGAAGAACTTCCAGCCATCAAAGAAACAAATAACAACATTGAAATTCAAACATAATTGTTGTTATTTGCTGTTAATTAAAGTCAAGAAAGTAGTCCGTTTTTCTTACTTAAATTGCATTGCCCCCAACTTGGGGGCAACGATCACTGTTTGACTATATATAATACTATAGTACTATACACAACGTTATGGGACTCTGCATGCTGTAGAGGGTTCAGGCTCCTGACGAGTCGCTGAAACTCCGACCAAACAGTCTGGTACTGCCCCCCAATTCTTGTCCTTCTTTCCTTTGAAATTCTGCCAACCAGTCACCGGTCACTTCTCTACGACAAACAGGTTCACAGAACATCGCACCACCGAGGTTAGACCACCAGTACATCCAGCTATCAGCGGCGGGCCCTTTTCTGAGGCCGCCCGCCGCCGATTGGATTTATCTACGACCCTGGCCCTCCAAAAAATTTTGTAGGAGACGAGTTTTCTTGTCCGCAAGGCTGGGGCCGTGTACTGCAGCTTGGGGGAAGGCGGTAAGGTTCTCCTGGATGTATAAGACTGGAATTATGCCCACATTCATTCAGAGAACTAGGGCGATTGCACTCTGAGACTCACAGGAGCTGCAGCGTACATACCAGCCACCTCAGTCCACTGAACCCTCACACTTTCATGCATTGCGCTTTGAAATTCCTGGATGTATATGAATGAAATTTCGCCCACATTCATTCAGAAAGTATCGCATACGTACCAGCCACCTCAGTCCACTGCACGCCAGCTGGCACGCAGAATGTCGTAACTGTCGGCAGACGGACGGCCGGATCTTTCACAAACAGCTCCAGACCCAGCTATGGAGGTCAATAAAGGCAAATATCAAACAGCCACCATCACCACAAAATGCACAAACAACGACACCGCACATACAGCAAGTGAGTTCGAGAGAGAGAGACAGAGAGAGCAGGGAGGGAAACATTCATCGCAGAGGTAGGAACGGCGAGCAGGAGAAAAGCAAATGCATCAAATGAGCAAGAGGATTAAGGGGTACTAGATGCTTACAGACCGGGCATAGTGCATAGTACTCACAATAGGACTTTTTCCACTAAGCTCTGGACGTGATTGCGGTCAGATTCAGTCATCTCTGGCCGTAATCACCGTCAGATACATCTCGAAAAGTCCTAGTGTGAGTATGTGCTGAGGAGGAGAAGAAGGGGCAATAAAAAACCCGCCACCATCACGACAAAATGCACACGTGTTGGGGCTCATACACCAAGTGAGCGAGAGAGAGAGACAAAGCAGCGAGGCAAACATCCATCCAGAGGAAGGAATGCAAGCAGGAGAAAAGCAAATGCATCAAAAAATGAGCATGGATTAAGACATAGATGCTCGCTCTTTCTGGGGGGGAAAAAAAAAAAAGAAAAAAAAGATGCTCTCTTTCTGTTTCCAGTGAGCTTCTCAGTGTTCTCACATTCAACAACTCAGGCAGTCTCTATTTGAATGCTGTTTTCAGCAATGTTTTGCACACTGGAGTCATCTGACCTTTTTTCCGGTGAGTCAGACTTTTTTTCGGTTGAAAAAGGTTCAGAAATTTTCCCATGCACTAGAATGGCCATGCACTAGAATGGCCATGCACTAGAATGGCCGTGCACTAGAATGGCTGTGCACTAGAATGATGTTTCTGCTCCTTGTCCATTCTGGCAAGCATAAGACATTTGGCTTTTGTTAAATAGATCATGCCAATACGCTAAAACTAGAGTTCAGAAATTTTGCCAGCCATATGTCTTAATGTCCATACAGTGCACGGCCTAGACCGTGGATGGCATATATGTTGTCACATAACTATGAACTTAAAGAGCGCACTTTGCGAAACAAACGGCAAAAAAAAAAAAAAAAAAAAAAACAAGACAAACATGAAGGGCACACTGAAACCATTCATTTTTCTCGTTCTTCTTTTAACTCCCCTTTCACCGAGCCTCTCACGTACGAGGTTAGCCACGTTCATGAAGTTGAGGGCGAGCTGCCCCCATCCCCGTGTACCATAACGGCCCACTCGTACGCTGTGAGAAAGAGGCAGAGTTAAGGGGGAGGGGATACACACAGGGAGGAGAGATGGACAGCAGACAAACAAAGAACGATAAAGGGAAAGTAAGGGAAAGTGCGGAGTGTGGAGTGAAGATGAAGGCAAAAGAGAGGATTATAAGAAAAGGCTCAAGAATGAGTCTGTCCTTGACGACAAAGAGGACATACATCGTAAGGATGAGGTGGATGAAACATGGAAGTCCTAGCTGAGCATTCTCAGACTGAGTGCAACAATTGCACACGACGGCTGGCATTGAGCATGCCCGCCATACAGCCCCGACAGATGGCATGTCGATTGCAGGCCAAAATGAAGGAAGAACGGTCACCACAAAAGACCATGCATTCAGTATAATAGCGCCCATGGCCGCAAAATGGACATATAGTGTCTGGATGCGTAGGGTGCCTGCAGTCAGGAATGGAGGGACAGTCCTCAACACACATGGATGGAGAAACCATGTCATTGTAGTGATTGTGACAGAGACGATGGCGGCTACAGTCAAGTGTAACAAGTGTTTGTGGCTGTGCAAAGGAGAAGGTTGCAGAGTGTTGGCACATTGTCTTGCTGGAGCACGGGGCCAGAGGAATGATCTTCGACCTAAAAGAGATTGCGGACGGTTTGTTGGGGCAAGAAAACAGCATCATTTTGTAAGAAATCAGTGACATCAGCCATGGCATGGCCCATGGTGCCGTTGTCCCACAGCTCCCAGCGGTCAGAGGCATGTACAATGGCCATGTAATGGCCAGGTCTGTGCACAATGCAGGCAGAGATGTGGGATGGAGGATTAAACCACTCACCTGCTCGAGCATTGCGTAGTTCAAGTTGACGGGCCCTCATTGCTACTTGCTGGACAGCAATGGTAAAGCCGGCCCTCCTTCGCTGGTAGGGGCTTAGTACCTCCTTTCGACTATTTGACACCAATTCTTGACGCAGTAGTATGGGGGTTGTTCATCTCCGAAAAGGAGGAGGGGAGGGAGTAGCTTTCCCTACCTATGCATCGATAGGGGATAAAAAGAATTTGAAGTTATTTCAGTTTCCTAAAACTGTTGTCAAGACCCCACCCCCCCCTCCCCCCCCACACACACAGAGGAGAAGGGAGACAGCTGTGGCACATGCAAGATCAGATACACACACACACAATGACACAGGAGAAAGGAGACAGGTGTGGCGAATGCAATATCGGAAGAGAATACCCTATATCAACCGTTCCTTTGCAAGAGGACTTCCAAATACAAAAAGAAAGAAGGGAGAAGGCCAATACCTGCCATAATTACGGTTAGCATCTAGGTTGTGGGATATGACGTGAGAGCCAAGGCAGTGGGAAATTGGGAAAAGTTGCACAAGAAGGCCACCCCGCTCCAGGAAGTGACCACAAAGAACATCTACTGTACAACTCTCTGCTGGAACCAATGGATATCTGTGGGGAGCCGCTAGGAACCGGGGTAGGGCGGGTAGAGCGGGGTAGGGCGCCGTTAGAGCGCCGCTCCACCCCCCCCACCCCCGTTCAAACCCCGTTCTACCCCCTTTCCAGTCCATCCAATCAGATTCCGAAAAATGCACGGGTGGTGGGGGGTTGCGGATGATGAGGCCGAAGCCCCCGCGCTTTGAAAAAGACTGGAAAAAAAAAAAAAACTCTACAACCCTATACCCCCCTACCCCCGTTGTCAGGTGGCTGCCTACCATCCGGGCTCGCGCTTTCCATCAACCATGATCTTTTTGGCGTGTTTTCCTTTGTTCTTGCCTGTTTGGATGGATGATGCGTGAGGCCTGAAGAGTTTTTGGGAAAATCTGTGGTATTTTTTGATTTGTACTAACGATTAAACAAGCAGGGATGGAGGCGGTCTACACAAAGCGGCAAGCGGGGTCGCGCGGGCAGCAAAGTTGGAGTTTTTAGGGTCATGCCCAAAAAGCCAGAGTAAATGATGAAGTTTGGGGCAAAACGTGGGAAACCACAAATGGACGTATCGGGAGTGGTCCGGGTTTTGAGTATGGCCGGTGGATGGGTTACTGTAAAAGGCACGATCAGGCGTTGATCGCATGAGAACGTGGAGCAGCCTCGGCTCCCGGGGCCCTCCCTCCATCGAGACGGAAGCAGCCGGGTCCGAAAATGACAATGGAGGCGAGCTATACCGCCGGATGGATTGAAGGGGTGGAGAGCAAAAAGGATTGTGACGTTAATTCTGGCAACCCGTTTCGATAGAGCAGGGGGTGAAAGGAGAGGTCCAGAATGAGAATCAGTGAGGCTACGGAGGGGGCAAGTGGCTAAAAGAGGAGGGGCACTGAGGGATCGAGCCCCGATAAAAGGGCAAGATAGATTGCGCGAGCAGGGGCCTAGAGTGTGGTGGACGTAAGGGTGAGACAAGGGAGGGGTGTCTATGCAACCGATCGAAGGAGGGGCCCCGCATGACAAGAGGGGGTGTTCGCAAATGGGGGATTTGGAGAATGTCTAACCGCTCGTATCGGCATCGAGGCCTTACGAGCGGGCACGTACTGGGGCATCAATTTTTTATCAGGACTGGTGAGGAAGCCGGTGCTTAGTCTTCCCTTCTTGATAAACTGTCTGCCAGTGTCTGGCGCTGCTCACATCAGTATGAACGTACCTGGACCTGAGGAACGGATCAATACATGGCCACTTGAAATTATTCCTTGGGATCGACTCTTGATAACTGTCTGGCACTGCTTGTATCAGCGAGAATGTACCTGAACCTGAGGGGCAGGACAATGCATGGGCCTTTTCCTTGCTTACTGTCTGTCGTTGCTTGCTTCAGCATGTATGCATCGAAGCTGGTGCTTAGTCTTCGCTTCTTGATAACTGACTGGCGCTGCTCACATCAGTATGAATGTACCTGGACCTGAGGAACGGGTCAATACATGGCCACTTGAAATTATTCCTTGGGATCGACTTTTGATAACTGTCTGGCACTGCTTGTATCAGCGAGAATGTACCTGAACCTGAGGAGCAGGACAATGCATGGGCCTTTTCCTTGCTCACTGTCTGTCGTTGCTTGCTTCAGCATGTATGTGTCGAAGCTGGTGCTTAGTCTTCGCTTCTTGATAACTGTCTGGCGCTGCTCACATCAGTATGAATGTACCTGGACCTGAGGAACGGGTCAATACATGGCCACTTGGAATTATTCTTTGGGGTCGACTCTTGACAACTGTCTGGCGCTGCTTGTATCAGCGTGAATGTACCTGGGCCTGAGGAGCAGGACAATGCATGTATGAAGCCGGTGCTTAGTCTACACTTTTTGATAACTGTCTGGCGCTGCTCGCATTGGAGTGAATGTACCTGGACCTGAGGAGCAGCTCAATACATGGGCACTTGAAATTATTCTTTAGGGATCGATTCTTGATAATTGTCTTACGCTGCAGGCCGGCACGTGGGTGGAAAAAAAAAAATTATGAGGATCGATTCTTGCTGCAGGACCTGCCGAACAGCCGATGCGAGGGCGTCGATCTCAACGGAAGGTGCTTACATCGGTGTGAATGTATCGGACTTGAGACACAGGCCAATAGGTGGCGGCAAACTTTGAGATCTCTCCCTGATGACTACCTGCATCGGCGAGAATGTATCGGGCCATGATGAGTGGCCAATGCATGAACACTCAGGGTCATCCCAGCGAAGGCTGCTGATTGGCTGAAAAGAAAGGCCGAAAGATCGATCGTGGGAAGAAGGGGGGGGCGTGAGACAGTATAAAGTGCACAGGAAGACGGGAAAAAAAAGAGAGGAGAGGGGGGGCCACGAGAAGGAGCACGGATCAAGCGCTCGCGTGG